CTGCATGCATGTACGAGTGTATGAAGTGTCAAAATGCATTATGAAATAATTTAACATGACAACAGAACGCTGCAAAACGAGATAGAACTGAAATCTTCTAGGATCTGGCCATTTCATGTAGGGAAGGTCAAAGATGAATGGAGGAAAGGAGAGCACAAGCTCGACCCAATGTCCATATCTCGCCGCCATGACCTCCCCCTCAACTCTTCGTTATCCCATTTGTGTATAAGCCAGATAATGCATAATGGGCCCATGAGAGAGCCAGGCACCACACCAACATCTGAGCAGTCCAGAATTCGGCCTCAGAGTTGCGAGACATTTTTGTTTCCCGCACACCCACTCTTATTTTTTGCTTTTGTGGCCTCATGGGCGCCGTCTTTTTATTTGGTGTAGGACGTATGTCGGGGCACGACTTTTGGGAAGATTTGGATGTGTAGCAGGCGGGATCTCTTTTTTGAACTCTTGGCGGAGGTGGGTGGCGTGGCGGCCTGTTGTTCTTATCCCGCAGAGTACATCGCCGGGGAGGGGGGGATGGTGAAGGAGCTGGATCACGTGGAGGTCCGGCAGATACTCATCAGTCGTAAAGCATCAGTAGTCTCTGTATCTGCAGCACAGTCTCCAATTATCGTGAAGTGAAAACTGAACAGTATCTCATTACCATTAGACAAAGAGAGTGGAGGGGATCAGACAGAGGAGAAGGTGGAATAGATGATCAAAGATCACACAAGAATAATCCCGTCAAACCCCACTCCTTCTCGGGGCTTCTTCCCTCTCCACGTCAACAACCAGTATATGATAACAAGTATAATAATCCTGATCACACAATAGTGCCACGTGGCACTCTTATCTCGTGAAGACCATGAAGACACAGCAGATTACAGTGACGACGTCAACCTCAGGTGAGTACCCGATCCCAATCATCCACAGATCCCGATCTCCCTCCTCCTCACAACGAGTCACCCCATGTAGACAGCGTGGACAATGCCACATCAGCAGTCGAGACAGGTGGCGAGCGCCACATCATCAATGAAGACCAGTGGCACACACCACATCAGCAATGTAGACTAGTGGCAAACACCTCATCAACAATGTAGTCCAGAAGCAAAGCCACATCAACACGTAATGTAGACCAGAGGCAGCACCACATCAGCATGCAATGTAGACCAGAGGTAGCGCCACATCAGCATGCAATGTAAACCAGAGGCATCGCCACATCAGCATGCAATGTAGACCAGAGGCAGCGCCACATCAGCATGCAATGTAGACCAGAGGCAGCGCCACATCAGCATGCAATGTAGACCAGAGGCAGCGCCACATCAGATTGCCTGGCGCACAATGCAGAAGCGCCAGCATAATGTCGTTGTCGCCCACAGTGCCGGCGTCCAGCCAGGGCCCTAATTGTGTGCAGTTGCAGACTTCCCCTTGGACCTGATGCTGTCTGGGTACCTGCATACAAACAAGTGTGTGTGCTTGACCGATGGCCTGGGCTGGGTACCTTTGGACTTTGACTGCTGGAGTCACGAAAATTGATAAAAGTCAACTGTCACACGCCCAGGCCCTGAATTCGTGTGGGGTCTTTTTCCCCTGTTTTGGCCTGGGCTGAGGGCAGCCAAGTAGTCCCTCAGATTTCCATGAGACATATGGCATGGGTTATTGCATTCCTGCCGGGCCAGTTTTCAAGTTCCATAGCAGAAAATACATCAATTCTCATTTAACCCACGTTCATATGCAGCAACAATGTCAGGAGCAGTATAGGAGTTCTTTCGTACTGAACCATCTCGCTTCAGATGGAGGTTGGGACTTGAACTTTACCTTGTACTGCTTCTGAGGTCTTCCTCTGCCACCTGTAGAAAAGTAGCCATGTTCCAGTATCTTTTCAACTTCGTAACCTCCATTCATTGAGGGTGGAAACATAGATGGCCTATTCGGAAAGTTGTCACCTTCTACATAGGGCAGCAGCTTAGATGCGTGGAAGACAGGGTATGTCCTTAGGTGTGGAGGTACATCGACACGATAGGAAGGTCTGTCTGCATCACTTCCCAGGGGCCATAGTAGACAGGTAGCAGTTTCTCAGACACATTTTCTTTTAAGGAAAACTCTTTTATCTCCTTCTTGAAATTGTGAAGGACGACAATGTTTATTGGCTTGTTCAATCATTTGCAGTTGGGCTCTCTGAACGTTTCCCTTCACCTTCTTAATGTCTTCTTCATAGAAAACTGCGAATTCACCCATACATGGGGATAGCCTCTGAATCTGGTCCCTTGTCAATACGTCAATGGGACGCATAGGCTTCCATCCTTTATGCAGAGCATTAGGCGTTCTACGGTATGTATGCTGTTATTATACGCACTAGCAACTTTAGGCAAGTTCTCATCCCAATCTATCTGATCAGGTCGGACATACATTCGCAAAAGTTGTTGGCAAAGACGGTTCATTTGCTCAGTTTGGCCATTCGTTTCAGGATGTCTGCCTGACGACATGGTCAACGTGGTCCCATAGCCTTCCATCAACTTTTGCCATTGTAGACTAGTGAACCGAACATCTCTATTTGGGAATCCATATTCAGAGACCCATCACATCTGGAAATTTTGGATGACTAGCACGGTTCAGCAGGCGAAGGAATGAACATAGCATACTTAGAGAATCTATCTACGATGACCATTACCTGACTGTTGCCATTCCACTCTTAGTGAGACTCATAAAGTCAATAGAAGTAGACTCACCTGGCTCATTTAGAATAGGCAGCGGTCTCAGCAGTCCCATCGGATTCTCATGTGAGGGTTTGTTCCTTTGACAGACAAGACAAGTCCACACATAGAGTAGTACATCTTCCTTCATTACTTTCCATTCAAAACGTTCTCGCACATCGACATACGTCTTCTTAAAACCAAAGTGACCTTCTGTATCATGGCATTTCCCAATGATTACACTCTTGATTGGTTATTGGTGAGGAATACGCAATCTTTCTTCGATCTGATCCAAATAGAAGAGTGACCTATCGGTCATTCGATATTCAGGGAATAATTCAGGGTTCTTTCGTAAAGTCTCAATAATGGGACTCCAAATAGGATCACTTGCGAATCTGTTCTTTTAGTTTGTTCCCGATATCGAGGTAAGAGACGATGGTTCCAAAGTAATCTGCACACCTGTACAATGTGTCCGCAATCATGTTAGACTTTCCTTTGATTGTTTTCACCTCAAAATCAAAGGTATCAAGGAAGGTTGACCATCTTACCAACTTGTCAGAGAGTTTAGGCTGAGTCTTGATCCACTTTAAAGTAGAGTGATCAGAGTAGACAATGAAATGCCTCCCTAACAAGTAATGTTTCCAGGTGTCTAGTGCAGTAACTAAGGCGTACAATTCTCTTTCATATGTGGAGTTGGCCACTTTCTCTGACGGAAGTCTTCTTGACATAAATTCGATAGGTCTATATCCCTTAGTTACTGTCGTCTTGTTGTAGCACAACCCCAATCCCAAACTGACTTGCGTCAGTCGTGACAATGAAAGGAAGAGAAGGGTCAACAATTTTTAAGACAGGATAGTGAGTCAGAGCATGTTTAACTTTCTAAACGATGACTCACAATCTTTTGTCCCACAACCAAGGCTTTTTCTTTTTCAGCAGTCTTCTCAGAGGGGCAGCTATCAAGGAGAAGTTTTTGACGAACTTCCTATAATAGCTAGCGAGTCCTAGAAAAGATCTTAGTTCAAGTATAGTCTAAGGTTGTGGGCAATCTCGGGTTGCTGTAATCTTCTTTTCTTCAGGCCTTAGTCCTTCCTCGTTTACTATATGCCCTAAGTACAAGACTTCACGCTTAGCAAACTCCGACTTCTTCGGATCCAGTTTGAAGTTGCCCTCGTGCAACTTCTGCAAAACCATTCATAGGTGTTTCTCATTATCTTCTAGTGTCTTACTATACACTCGAACGTCATCAAGATAGACTACTACGAATTGATCAAGCCGTTGACGGAACAGTTCATTCATTGACCTTTGGAAGGTCGCAGGCGCGTTGGTCAAACCGAAAGGCATAACCACGAACTCGTAGTGACCATACTTGATTTGGAATGTTGTCTTATGTTGATCTTCAACAACCACCTCAATCTGGTGGTACCCTGAATTCTTATCAATATTGCTGAAGTACCTGCAACCTTGTAACTGGTCCAACAGGTCGTCAATGCGTGGAAGTGGTTCCGCGTTTTTCACAGTGACGGAGTTCAACCCGCAATAATTTATATATAGATGAAGTTCACCTTCCTTTTTGGGCACGAATAAGACAGGAGCACCATAAGGAGATGAGCTAGGGCGAATCCATCCTTTGTCAGCAAGTTCTTGCAGGTTGTTTGCGCAATTCCTCAAGTTCCTTGGGAGACATTCGATAGATGGCACCCTTGGGGATCCTGCTTCCATGAATAATCTCAATCGTGTACTTAAACCACCAGTACCTTACAATGCACTTCTCCGAACCTTTTTTTTTTCGAGCTACTGAACCGTTTTGTTGCCGTAGGAGGAAGCCGGAGAAAAGCAGTGCTACAACGGCCTACCGGTTCTTACAATGTCGAGGGACCGGTACTTCTTATGAGAGGAAAATAAAATATAAAATAAAAAATAAAAAAAATAAAAAAATGAGAGGTTTTTCATTTTATTTTTCTTTCCCTTCATCTTTGCTATTCTTTTTTTTTCCTTTCTTTTTATCCCTCTTTTTGATGCCCTGAGTGAAGTCATCCCCGAGAATGCGGAAAAGGAGGAAGGAAACAAAAGGGAAAAAAAAAGAAAACATTCAAGATAAAAATTTGGCCGTGATCGCGGTGAGACACATTCAGGGAAGCAATCGGGTGAGTATGCCCTCAGTGAGGGCCATCCCTGAGAACAAACGGATTCGCTCTGCCTTGCTGACAAGACCCAAAAAAAAAAAAAAAAAAAAAAAAGGATTTGACTGTGATAGTGCTCAGGTACATTCTGTACAGCACTAGTGTGAACATTCCCTGAGCCAGGCGTTCCCGG